GCAGAAGCTAAAGCTAAAAAACTATCCGAAACATTCGAAACCCCTAAAAATTCCGCATTTGGTCCCCAACAAACAAGCCCTCCTTCTCTAATCCCACCACAGCTAAACCCTTCACCAGAAATAATCATTTTAAAAACAAGATTACTGACACTCTGATCATAAAACAGACTACTCTGTTTTGAGCTTAAAGTATTATTAGAACTCTTTACGATTTCCCAACAATCAACGATACCGGACTCATGATCAGAATAATAGGCCCCTCTAATTCCACAAACATGATTCTTTCCAGAAGCTATATAAGAATAAGCCGTGGTTTTATAATTTCTAGGAACAAGATCTGTACCTGACCCCATTAAGCTCCAGCAAAAAACTTGAGAAGTATTTGCCAAGATGCCACAAAGGAAACCTTCACCACCTGAGAGAGCTGCCATTTGAGGAACTTGAGAAGCAAAGTCTAAGGAAGATAGTGAAGATGAAGTAGATGAAGTAGCAGAAGAAGAAGAAGCAGAGCTGCTGTTTTTGCTCCAACATATAACTGCCTGCTTGCCGCTGGCATCAATGGCACAGAAGAAGCCGTCCTCGCCGAATGCGGCGGAGATGGGGCCCATTGATCCGAACCCAGATGCAGAAATGGCGGAAATGAGGAGGAGAAGAAGGAGAAACATGGTGATTTTGAGGATTTGCATGGCAGGTCTTTGTTGCTCTTGTCGTCCTCGTCGTCGTTTTGTTCTTCTTATTTGTTGTCATGGAATTGAAGGGGAAATGGAGGGTTCTTTGTTTAAGCTTGAAGTGAGTATTAGAAAGAGAAAGAGATAGTTGATGAGGTTGGTGACGACGGTAGAACGTGGGTGTCGCCATTTTTTTTTTCTTTTGTTTGTTTTCCATTTTTACTGTGTTTGGTGGTTCGGACCGTTAGTGATTCGAAGCTAATAAGGTAATCAAGCTGTCCAAATATTAACTGTTGGTTAGCTTCTTTTACGGCCAGCAGTTCCATGGGAGAGGACTAGTGACAGTCTTAGCTCAAATTAAGTCTTCATTGAAACAACTTCTTGTCTAAACACTACTTCAAAGCATTACTTAGCCAGCTAGCTATAGATTGTAAACTGCTTCAACCCTGGAATGGTATGCAATTCGTCCACTTATCTTGTCCAAAGATTCACTTTTACAAATATTTAATTCAAAATCTTTTACTGTCGAAACAATCACTCTTGCTGTGCTTTACTAATCTTACCTGGTCTTACTCGCACTATCGGAGAAGCAAGAGATCCTTCCAGGAGTACCTGTAAAATGACAGCCCATTTGATAAATAAACATATGACCAATTACAAAAAGGCAGTTTCTTTTTCTTACGCTTTTAATGTGCATTGTCCTAACATAAATGCATTAAATGTTTGTTTGCATTAATGGATAGGCGTGTGCCCCACTTACCATTCTCCTGATTTGATTTTCCCTGTTGGCGCCCTTTGTTACGTGAGACAAATCCGCATTAACATTATGGAATGCTAATCTGAGCATTACTTTGCATTATGGAAACAAAACCAATGAGGAGGGCCAAATTACCAATTTCCATCCTCCTTTTCTTAATCATCATAATATTTAATAAAAGGGTATGGAAAAGATTTCATCTATCAAGTTGGCATGGCATCTTCACAAAATTTCATTAATTTTTGCTAACCATACCTTTTGCTTTCCAATCCTACAACAAGAAGACAAAAATTAAGATTAAAAAAAAATTAATAAAATTGTGAGCTTAATCCCCACTTGGATGCTAGCTCATTTTTTTAATATTTGTATACCACTTTGATGAAATCCAACTCATTGGGAGAATTTCTTCGATGTTTTCAAACAATTTTAATACTAGTACATGTGATGCAAGAACCAAATCAATCCACCTTGTTTAGTAGGCTTATAACTTATGAATTATTGCTTCATTTCATTTATGTGCAAACACTGTTAAACAAAAGGAAGCCTGAGACAGAAGAACAGGTACAATCAGACAGCAGAATTAATGAGGCTAGTGTTTCAAATTCTGAAAATACCAAGGGGACCATTCAAAACTTTTGATGCTTGAAGGCCAAATTCAATTTGAAAATTTCTTTGGGATGTTATAATTCAGTGTCACTTGTGCAGTAGCTGCCAAATTATCCTAGATATTATAAACCGCCGATCATATCACGTGGTTGCTTGGTCAGCCTGTCTGGCTTCTTTTCTGTTAAACGACCATATGGTCAACCTGAACCTTTGTGTGCCATTCCGAATTCGACAGTCAAAGCCACAATGCCAAATAAAATGGCCAGTCAGAAGGGTCTCCAAATCTTTCAAAAATCTAATCTAATTGGTCCATACATTGTATATACATCACCCCTCAAGACCAAATATTTACATAGGATCCATCTTTATTCTTTTTGCACCACTTTATTTATTCTGATCAGACAAATGAGGCCGATTTTCAGAAGATTACTTCCAAGTCAAATGCTATTGTTAGAATCCAATGTGGTGAAATGCGAAAGCCTAATTAATAGCTGAATGAAGAAGGTTGGGAGTTAGGACCCCACACATTCACTGTGGAAATGGAAAGTTTGATTTGCAAGCAGATTTTGGTGCTGATGTATTGTCACCATCTGGTGATATTAAAGCCATTCCATTGTGTCGAAGTGTGTACATGCAGGGTGCTAGAAGGTAGATCCAGGACCGAGACATGGAAGAAGAGGATCCCACTTTGTTTCTGATCAGTGCATGTGGACTGTCGTGGAACAATATTTGGCTTGGAACTCACCCTGGATTTTGTTCGCTTGTTTAAAACGTATGTTACTTTTGTTTTCAATGTACTTTATTGTTCATTACTTTCTTCGCACCACTAGGCAGTAGCATGGTAACAAGCTGCTGGGCTTTTTCTTGCTTGCGGTGGCAGTTAGCCTCTACAAGCATAGGTGCGAATTGGGTCGGTCAAGTCCGTTTTAGGGTAGGTTATTTTGGGTTTGATTTGCTTCATTTATCGGATCACTCAAGTTCTCGAGTCATTTTAAGTTGGTTTGAGTTATAAGATATTTCGGATCATTGTGGATCGAGTTATTTTGAGTTTGAAATACTTTAAAATTCAAGTCATTATAAGATAAAATGATTTAAATTTTAAAAAATTTACTGTTGATAGTCTCTATTTATTTTCTAAAATATTTTACTTATAAGTATTATTAGTTATACTAATGTCACTTCTAGATAATATTTTATTAAATTATTTTTGTAATGTAGATCTGACAGAGTTAAGATATCACGTTGATTGAATTTTTTTCATATATTTCTTCAGTTTAAAACCTTTAAATGTTAATAATATTAAAAATAAAAATAAGAATAATATTTTTTATAGAAAATTCATTGTATAAAATGATTTTTTATTTTTTTATGGTAATAAAATATTAAATTCAATTAATAAATGCATAAAATGTTGAGTCAAATTAAGAAATAAAATAGATAGTTGCTTCTTAATTTTTTTAACAATATGAAATGCATATATACATATGAAACGGATGCTTTTTTAACATGATTGGATCTTCAAACTTTTATAAATGATGAAAGTATAAAAATTATTTTACTATATTATCAAGTTATAGTTAAGTTTGATTTAAGATACATTGAGTCAAGTTCGTCATATTCCATATGTCACGTAGTCATCTCTGCCTCGCTGCGGTTCAGCATTGTTCAGCCTTTCTACGAAGTCGATAGGCAATTAAGCGAGAAAGTCTCTTTGAAACTTTTTTTAAAATATGTTATAGATTTAATATTAAAATTAATTTTTTTTTGCAAAATTGATGTTCCATGATCTTTAATGTCAAAAAGGAAAAAAGGAAAAATCTTGAAAAGTTATTTTGGAATATATGAAAAAAGAAGTTTTAATAGTTTAACATAGTTTTAAGACATTTAGGAAAATATATCAATTAAAAAAAAAGAGACGAAAGGAGCACAAGTATTTTTTTTTAATCACTGTCCTTAAAAGATAAAAAGTGGATGGCAATAGCAACATTACTTTTATTTTCTTTTTCTAAAATTAGACAGTAAGAGAAAAATAAGGGCATGATCTTTTTCCTACAAATATAATTACTGAATTACTAATTCTTTATTTTTTTCTTGTCTACTTGGTTGGGTATCTTCTACAGAGAAAGAGAGGCACAGAATGAGGGCCTATATTGGTCTCTGTTGTGCCGAATTGGGCTGGAAACACCTAAATCCCAATCTCATATATAATGCCGAAGTATCAATCCAGCTGCTAGCTTTGAAAGCCCACTTCTGGGAGAGTGCTGCCTCTGCGAACAAATTTTATATGTTTCATAATTTTATATAATGTAATTAATTATATTAAAAATATATAAAAATTAAAATAATTAACAAAATATTTCTTAAATTAAGTGTTTTATTAAATATTTATTTTCTTTCACTTCCTATTTTTTATTAATTCTCAACTATTTATCTCACTTCCCAACTTATGTAAGAATCAAAATAATTAATAAAATTACATATTCTTTTATTTTTTTAATTATATGTTTAATAAATTTCTATTTTTTATCACTTCTCAATTTCATAATGTTAATAATTCTTATTTATTTTTTTATTTTCAATAAACCTAATATGTTTTTAATGATCTTCAATTAATAATAGTTTTTTTAATTTCAATAAAAAATATTTTATTTAATAAAAATTTTATTTAAATATTTAATTATTTAAGACTTTTAAAGATATTGAACCGCCCTGTTTTCACTTTCTCAACACAGCTACTAGGCTGTTGGGGTACCAAGCTGCCCACTTTCGGCAGGCTCGAATCACGAGTTCCTTTGCTTTCTCTGTTCTCCGTTTTTGCCCAGGTATGATACTTACGTTTTATAGGAGCATTACTTTCCCTTCTGGTGGCTTACAGAAAAACTGTCCTAGTTATAACTTTGTTACTATTTTTTCTTACTACAAAATAGACAGCGGTAGGCTGGGCAAAACATTCCGCTCTACGCCAATAATACTTGTTATCACAAATATATCATTAAATATGCTTGAGAAACATTTGGACAACATCATCTGATATTCTTGGATAGAAGAAACAGAGAAGGGGAATTGATGGAAATGGTAATGGCTACAAAGGAGAGATGGATGGATAATGGTAAAGGTATTATCATAATACATGATGAGAACATTGAAGAAAAAAAAAAAAAGAAATTTTACATGATAAAGGAGTTGGTGATCTAGAAGATGCTAGAAGCAAGGATAAATTGGGTAGGAAAGTTGTAAGAAGAAGAAAAAAAATTTGGATAAAAGAAGTTGTTATGGTTTTTATGAAGAACTAAGGCTAAAAGCCCAATTCAGTAGGCAAGGAATAGAAACTAACATGGAGCAAGAGAAAGGAAACGATAATCACAAATTTGTGTATCGATCTGTTTCATTAATGATAAACACAAGGCTTATATACGAAATATGCATGAAGAACACTTGTAACATAGTAAAACAAATGTTAAGCCTAATTACATGCACCTGAACACATATGGAATAGGAATAACACATAAGCATTTTTCATGACCAATACAATGACGCAATTGATATAAAATATTAAACAAACTTAGTTAAGATGTTTTCCATATTCTGACTACATGCAAGCCGTAACTTCATAGCACTTATTTTTAAGAATTGGACCCAGCATATTCATAGGAATTCAAGTCTTCGCTTAGACAGTATCTTTATCATTATATCTACTAATTGGACTCCGGATGGACAGTACTGCACTTTTACATCTCCTTTTTGTTCAGCATCCCTAATAAGATGGTATTTAACTTAAATATGCTTTGTCTTTCCATGAAAAATAAGATTTTTGATCATGGCGATGGTTGATTTATTATCAACCTAA